GGACGTACTGCTCAAACTTGTAGAACCACTTTATGCCAAAAGTAACCACGACCCAGGTTATGAGCGCAACGATGACGATACCAACGATGACAGACATGCCTCCGCCGTTCACCGCAGACAAGAGCAGGTCGCCCACCAAGCAATCGATGAGTCCATATCCAATCTCGATACATAGGTTGAGTATAACGCAGAGTTTTGATGGCCACCAACCCATTGTGTACTTGGCTACGTTCAAGGTGCGCAAACCGGAGCGCGGCCCAAATGTGGATATGTAGCCAGTGCATACGGATCCGAAGATTGTGCCGAAGAGACAGAGTCTTTGGTGGTATTAGCTGTATGTTTGCATTCATGTTACAAGACGAGACCCGAACGGATGGCTGGACGTACATGAGCGAATCGGTGAGACCTAGATTGTAACTCACGGGCCCGAGGACACCCAAAGTAAGCTGATTTGCAGTGCAGTTCATGGAGAACCAGCTAAGTACACAGTTAATCGCTGTGATGGCGTGGAGCGTTCATTGTGATAAGCTTACATGGTAAACATATGGATGTAGTCGCGATACGTCATGGCTCGTTCGCGCAATTCTTCTGGTATCCGCTCGATACCGCGGGCTTCGACACCACAGACGGCATCTAGCTTGTTTGCAAATCTTTGGAGAGCATTGACGGGCTCGCTGATGCCGAGTTCAGGCTCGATTGTGTGGATCGTGGACGATGCATCGCCCTTCTCAAGGGACTTTCTTTCGTCGGTCATTGTCTCTTATGGTGAAAGGGAGTGCGACACTATGAAAAAGTCTCGACAGCTGTAGCTGTCGGTTCAGTCGGTAGCAGGCTGCATTTTGTGTCTGCCGTCTTATAATGGTCATACGCTTCCAGCCCTATACTCCTCAATCTGTCATGGCTATCCCGAGAGTGGGGCAGCTGAATTGATCTAGGAACCTCCGGATCGATACCCTATCTGGACCAGACGAATGCTATCTTCACTATCTGTAATTGTGGATCCATAATCTGGGGTCGACAAGGGACATCCCATTCCCAACGTGTAGAGCCACGGACGATTGCAGACCACATAAGAGGAAATAAGAGGCTGGCGCAACGCTATGTTGCGGGGAAGTGGCTTTGAGTAAGTGCTAGCCAATGGGTATAGATATCGACAAAGACGGGCCTTTTCCCCACTCTTGACCTGGCTGCAAGGCGAGAGTGGGGGTTTGTTACTAACGAAGCTACTCAAGCAGACGCGAAGGGTAATGTCGTCGCATAAGTCCGACATATATGTTGACATGGTTGATTTGATCTTGTGGGAAGTGACCGAGCTTTACGTTGCATGAAGTTGGGTCATCGTCTTCGCTACCTGCATTCCAAGGTAAGCTTGGAAGGGCTGAATAAGCCAAAACCACCATCTACGCTGATGATGCTTAAAACGTGTCATCATGCAAAAGTCATCTTGAACCAAGTGCAGTGCACGAAGCAATACTGGGAGTAATCTCAAGGGTCGATACATCGTGCTTCACACCAGTACCGCGAGTTCACATCCTAATATACTTTTACTCTCAATCCCTTGGAGTCTTCAGGCATAACAGGGACAACAGTGTCACTTGTAATCACAAGGTCAGCAGCACTGGTCTCGAACAACTGCAGTTTCCCAACGTCGTCCTTGCCCTTGACCTCCTCGGTACCATACACCCTGAACAGCGCAGCCAGCGTGAGGTACAGCTCTGCATAGGCAAGATTGATGCCGAGACAAGCTCTACCACCCTTGCCGAATGATACTAGATAGCGATCGAGGCGGGGGTTATCAAGCCAGCGTTCGGGCTGGAAGTCGTGCGAATTTGGAAAGACGCGCTCGTCGTGGTGGACCAGGTTACTGGTCATACTAAGAGGTGTTCCAGGCGGGATGTGCCATTCGCGCTGGTTTGCAGCGTCCTGGTAAACGAGAGTCTCGTCAGGGCAGATGCGATGCAAGCGATGCGAGATGGCATGACTTAGACGCACGCCTTCTTGAACCACACCAGTAAGGAAGGGCAAGGATTCAAGTGCGATAAGGTTGAGTGGCTGCGAAGGATCGGGAATGGCGGCTTCCAGCTCGGCCTTGAGCTTGCGCAGAATTTCTGGAGTGGCGAGCACAAAGTACGTTGAAACGCCCAGCGCCCAGGCAGTGGTAATGGTTCCTGCCGCGACAACGACCTCACCCTCTTGCCAGAGACGATCTGTCGACTTTTCGTAGTCGGAAAGCTTACTATTGAGAATCTCATGAAAGATGGTGCGGCGTGTCTTGTCGTAGGAGTGCGTCTGGTGTGCGTGCTGGATTTCGGCGACCTGACGCTTTACGCTAGTCTGAAGCTGAGAGTACGCGCCCATTGCTGGACTCAGCTTGAGCAGCAGTGAGTCGGGCAGCTTCCTCAGCAAGTCCATCAGCCATGTGAAGTGCTTCAAAACATGTCCAGCTTTCCCGCCCTGCAGCATTGCATCCCGGAATGATGGATCAAAGTCTGGGGCCTCTAGACGATGTTCGCTTCTCCCAAAGGCGTAGTCCTCGACGATGTCTGCACCAGAAGATTCAAATCAGTGAACGATCTCTCAAAATCAAGAAGATGCCCCACCATTGGTTAGTGCTGCGTAAGCATCATCCAGCTTAAGGGGTAAACCAGAATCGGCAAACTGGCGTAGACGTTCTAGCAAGATGCTCATATTGCGGTCGACCAGCGGTTGCAGTGCTCGCACACTTTGCTTGGAGAAATAAGGGGAAAGAGAAGCCCTGCGTACGCGGTGCTCATCGTGCTTGAGTGTGCCGATCAGGCTCTCATCAACGCCAAAGGACCAGGTTATCCAATCCCACTTGTCACGCTTGCGTCCACTACCAGCATAAACCGTGTCGTAGAAGTCAGGATCAGCAATATGTATCTCGTCCGGGTTGATGCGGACAATAGGACCTTCACACCAGTCAGTTCGATACGTCAGGGTTCAAACAAGAGCAAACACGTACCATATTCCTTGTGGAGTCGGCCTATCTTGAACGTATACTCGGGTTCGGCAACGACGTCGTACCAGAACTCGTACCAATAAGTCCATGCCGCGAGTTTCGGCCCGGGAAAGTGTGATATCGGGCTCAAGAAGAGACGATACACAGTAACATAGCAGAAATAGAGGATGGAAACCACAAACACAGACACCAAAGTTATGGGTATGTCCATATTCGTGAGTGTAGAACTCAAAAGTGTCATATCTGCAAGTTCTTGGGATGTCCGGTGCGGAGAAGCAAGATGGGGATAGAAAAGAAGTCTAAAGTTGGGATATATTGCTTCGATAAGGTTACAGCTCGGTTGGTCGTTGATACAGCATCCCCCGTAGTGTCTGCGTCCGAGAAGGATTCACTGCTGCAGCAATGCAATGCATGCTGCATGTAAGACTACCCAGGTGGATGCAGGGGCCAGGGAACTACTGGCACGCTAATGCAGTGAATATTTGCGTGCTTTGGTCCCACACAAGCGGGCTGAGTACAATGTAACAAGCTCGCTGGTCTAACGCTGATGGGAAGGTCTGTAGTCTTCATCCCCAGTACATAAGTGGGTATGTCATGATCACCAGAAGCATTCACTCGAGTCAGATATTAACAGCTCAACTTTGCCTCCCCTACGAAAACTCGTCTAATACTATATTCCGGCCAATGACTCTAGAACGCGCAGATTTTGTGGGTCTTATCTGGCTCTCAACTCCATTTCTCCTATTATCCGGCTCTCGCATACAGCGGCAGCTCCGATGGCTCCTGTTGCTTCCATTTCTGGTTTTTTGTTTCGCCATCGTGTCATTTGTTCCCGCCGGAACTGATGTAGCGAAGGACTACACATTTGGTACAGGTTAGAATGCATGATCAACCCCTGTCAGTCCTAGTTACTAATGATACCACTATGTAGTTCTCTACGTCAGTTTGACGAATTTCAACTTGCTCGTTCTAGAAGATCCGTACGTGGAGCATATACGCATCCGAAAGAAAAGCAATGGAGAGAAGGCCATTCCAGTATACCACTCGCTTTCATCGCTACAGAAGGTTCGGTGGTGTTTCAGTAATGCCTATTCCACTCGAGGAATTGGCTGGAGCTGGGGTACTGCGCATCTCCCACCAGCCCCTCCAGCAGGATCATCTCAGTCATCTTTCTTGATCCTATCACTGCGAAGAATTCTCCAGCAATACGTCATTCATGACATTGCAGGCGCGCTTCTTCTATGGTTGACGGATAGCGGAAGAACAAGTATACTCGACCTGCACTTTGTTCCGCAGATCCTAGCTACTGGGTGCTGGTGGGCGTCAACTATTCCGCCAATGGACATTGTATATCATGTCATCTGTCTGTTCGGCGTCACATCTGGCCTTTTCTGGAATGTCATCGAAGAGGTACACCCACTCAAAGGGGCATGGGCCATGTGCTACACTCTGAACAATTTCTGGAACCGCACATGGCACCAGAATTTCCGAAGAGCATTGAAGACTCCGAGCCGCTATGTTGCGAGACACGTCGCATGCGCTCCTAAAGGATCATGGGCGAGTCGTCAGATCCAGTACCACATCGCTTTTGCCATCTCTGGGATCTACCATTGGGCAGCCGCAAAGATGGCCATTCGATCCGAGAATTTCACGAAAACGCTGGCTTTCTTTGCGATCATGCCGATAATTATGTTGTTAGAAGACCTTGCTATCTCCGTCGCTCGAGAGCAGCTTGGCTGGCGGAGTTGGCGATGGCGTGTCGTCGGGTACCTATGGACCTTCTTCGCCCTGACTTTGCTTAGTGTGGGCTTCGTGGACGACTGCGTCAGGCATGGTCTTGTTACTTCGTTTCCAGCTCTTCCATTCTCTCCTACACACACCATATTGAATCTATGGGTCCGCAGCAAGATTTAGTGTCTTACAGACAACATGGAATATCATCTTGAGGGAAGCCATTCGTGTAGGGCTTTCCGTTCTGCCTTTCTTGAAGAGGAGACTGGCACTACATATCCCTGGTACCTTAGTTGATCTTGTGCCCTCCAGGCGTCAATGTAGTGAAGACTCCATCAGAATCATATGCTTCTCGAACCCGCTTCAGAAACTCAATGTTCTCTTTCCCATAGCTTCGAATAGGATTTTGATCTTTCGCGGCATAGTTCATGTACTTGAAGGGATGAAACAAGCCTCTCTCCTTAGCAGCCGAAACAGACTGCTCAAGCACAGCTTTAATACCAGCGATGACAGTTGTGTCATCAGATTCGCGAGACCATTCCCATCCAAAGGAACAGACTATGAAGTATAGTGGTTAGCTTCGTCTGAAGAAGGATGTATGGGAGGACTCACCAACCAAAGGCGCTTGGTCGTCATGAAGGCCCATGACATTCCCTCCGCGTGTCATTTGGGCTTTTAAGATATTCTGCGTTAGTGGCTGGATGCCCAGCATCGGTGCAAACCCCTGGTCATCTTGTAACCCATTGTCTAGCGCCTTCTGTACTTGCTCTACGAATATGTGCACCATAAGTGCTAACAGCCCTACATCGGCGGAAAAGGTTGCTGTTGTGAACCGGCTCCGCATACCGGCGGGTTCCGATTGATTGAGCTCATCTGCAAGATCCAACACCGAAGTCACTCTCGCCGTGCTCATAATCTTTGCTGTACCATACGCCTCTACATTGTCTTTGAACTGGGTGAAGATCGGAGGTTCAACCCTTCCTAGCGCGTCATACTGCCCCGCGGCCCAAGCAAAGTTGCCTTGCTTGTAGCCTAGGCCAGCAAATAGTGATACATGTGGGTCGGAGGGGGCATCGTGTGCGAATTTGACAAAGCCGCGAGTGAGAGCCGAAGTCACTGATGGCAGCAATGGCCAGACATGCAACCCTCCCCACATTGGTCCCTGCTGGAATACGTCAAGATCAAACCGAGTGACGACGCCAAAGCTATTTCCTCCACCGCGCATAGCGCGATAGAGGTCCGCGTTTGATGACTCGGAAGCACTTGCGAGACTGCCATTGGCAAGAACCACCTGATGTACTATCAGTCTGTGCTCGCTTTTTAGCTTCTAGTTCCTTACCTCGTAGTTACGAACATTGTCACATGCCCAGCCGTGCATGCCTGAGAAGTGGCTCAGCCCACCACCTAGCAGCAATCCACCAACACCAACTCCAGTGAGTCGGCCACCCACGACGGTCTTGTTAACTTTCTCAAGTTCCTTGTACACATCTCCCCATGTCGCGCCAGCGCCGACCTTGACTAATCCTTCGCTCTCATCTAATATGACATCGCTCAAACCCGCCATGTTGACCGTGATGCCCCTATCAATATTGCTCGCACCCTGGATATCCGAGTGACCCCCTCCGCGAACAGCGAAAGGGCAACCACTTGTGCGTGAGACGGATACGACTGCTGCGATATCTTCGGCAGAATGGATATGGACGAGACACGCTGGTTGAGCGGACTGCTGTTGCTGTGCCCAAAAGAGAGATCTCACGGAGGTCTGATTAGCAACGATAGGAGCATGTCCGACATCGGACACTTTAGTGTCGGTTATCTCGACCGAGAGTGTTTCAGAAAGGAGGATGCACTGCATGTGTTAGACCATAGCTACTGTTTGCTTGACATTTTTCTTCAACGTACGGCATCATGACAAGAACCGTAATCTGCTGTTATGCCTTTGCTGTTGCCGATAGAAGCGTAGATGGCATACAGCCAAGGTAGAGTTGTTGATTGCCACATCGCTGTATATTTGATGACGAAACACGAAAGTCTTGAATAGACAACCTTGAGACTTTGAGCTTTTGGTGGGCATAAGACGTTCTCGACTTCGTTGTATGTCAGGCCACCCATCGGCCCGTAGAGACCGACTCATGTGAGGCTAAGTCGGATATGTCTTAGCTGTACCGTTCGGCTGTCGATACGAAAAAATCAAGGTTGTTGGGGAGTTACTCAGTCCTGTATCTAACGTATCTGTGCCGCACCCTTGACTCCACAACACGCACGTACGGCGATCCTTCATGTGGGAGCAAGGGTACCTGGGTACATGAACAAGATACTTAACACTTTCCACGATAGCATAAGGCCGGTGGGCTAAGGCAAAACTACAACAAGAAGTAATAAATACGTAGGATTCGTCTCCCGTTTGTGCTAGCAACTAGTGTCCTTGCAGCTAAGCGACCCACAGCGGCACAAGACGGCTGTGGCTAGCGGGAGAGCAAGGCCCCCGAGCGATCATTTGCTAGTGCCTACTTCACCAATCCTCGCAATGCCTTTGACGCTGAGCTTTGCGAGACACAAGCGAAGCATTGGGTTCGCCTCGCCTGTCTGCTGCTCAAGCCGGTCGATTTCTATTTCCAAATCGCGTTCCATATCCGTCAGGCAAGCAATCGTCTTCTCAAATGCTCCGCTTTTCTTCAGGCAAGCCGTCAAATGTTGCTTGCTCTCTTTCGACAGAGGATGTGCGTCCACGGTGGCGATCGTAGGGCGTTGCCGGAACACACCTAGGAAGTGCCCACGGTACTCCGGAAAATTTTCCAAGCAGTATACAACTGGATACGAGAATTTTCCTTCGTCTAGATCCTCACAGAGACCTTTTTGTGCCGTGTAATCCTGGAAGTTCATGTAGTCATCCCGAATCTGGAAGAAGCGGCCGAACAGCAGTGTCAATCTGTGGAAGTCTAACTGCGGTGTCACCTCGCTCTCCGCTTGCATGAGTCGTATTAACATGCGAAACATGCCACCGGTCTTGTGATCGACCATGTTGACGTACTCAGCCTCACTTGGGCATGCGAGGTTGTGTTTCCAGTACAGGTCCCAGCTTTGACCTAGATACAGGCCCTCAAGTTCTTCAAGGACCGCAACAAGAGCAGCTGGACTCAAGCTCTGTGCGACGTCCTGTACAGCGCGAACGAACATGAAATTAGCGCTGTTGATTGACTGGGCCTGTCCAAACAGAACATGTGTCGATGGATAGCCTCTTCGAAGCGGGGAATTATCCTCGAGATCATCGAGAATGAGAGAGGCGTTATGCAGTGAATTGATCACTGACATGATGGCCTTGATCCGATCAGATGGCACATGAAGCCATGTATTAAGAGCCTCGATGAGTGTGGCCCGGACGCCTTTCGAAGGCATGCTTGAAACATACTTTGATGGCGCCTCCAGTGCCAATTCTGAAGGCTTGTAGAAGGGGTAACTGGAGACCTCAGAGAGGCCAGACTCACTGTCGCTGGATTCCAAGTCAAAGACGGGAGAGTCTTTCCTTTTCTTCGCCGGAGCTTCCTGTTTGATGACCACAGCACCATGCGACAGCTTTCTTTTGACACCATTGGAGATAGGTGTATCAGCGTGCTTCCATGCATTCTGTCTCGGGCACGCCGAGCACCAGTAGTGATTCCCCGAAACAGCTAAGCCAGCGCAGTCAATCCAACGTTTCAGTTTCAAGGATATGTCGGGACAGGCCTTGTAGAGTTCATCACGGCGCTCACAAAAGTCACGCTCAGCCGTGATGATTTTGCGCTTGACTTCATCTTTTGCGTCGTCGATCGAAAGTCCCTTCGTCCTGATGAACAAGTCCACAGCGCTTACAATCCTCTTCGACTGGCCGGACTGCAGTTCTCTATACTCCCGTTCCCAGCTAAAATAGTCATTTGCTAGAAGAAGTCCTTCAGTGGCTGCGTCGATGATGGGCTGTACAAGTGCTTCCTCGGCTTCTGAGATAGACATCCCAAGGCTGAATTGAAGCATTGGCCAGAATACCCTGGCAAAGATGAGCTAAGGTTTGGGAACTAAGTGATTGTATTACTTACAGCATTCCGCCGTTTTCGCTCCGATACTTCAGGTATTCTTCCATAGTTTGAGCTTCCTTGTCGCTGTTTCTTTCGCTGATCGCGAGCCAGACGTCGCGGAACGCAGCAAGCATCTTCAGACCCAATTCACGGTCAAGACTGACACATTCAAGAATGCACTGCGAAACAAGTTTTTTGGTCTTCATCGCTCTTGAATCTGGAGTCATGGTGCTGACATCGTCGGGATCCAAGGCGGCATAAAGATCGCCGTGCTCAACTTGCGCATCTTCGATACTGAGACCTTCGCCGCCATCTATGTTCTCGTTAGAAGCGCTAGTAGATCAGCAGGATGACATAGTTACCATCATGAATCAATCCCAAGTCAGACAGGTATGCTAAGACACCCAATCTCTCCGGAACGGCCTCGGGATAAATCAAGGATGACCAATTCCCCACTGGCGAGAAAGAGAAATAGGTGTGTCGTTCTCGCCCATCTCCCATCTCTCTAGCCCAGTCCTTGACGAATTGACGACTTGCTGCATCAGCTAGATCATTTCGAGAATGGACACGAATGGGAAGTGTCGTGAAGCATCCGGTTCCTCGGGATTCATCAAAAGAAACCAGCTTGGACTGATATGAGAGCGACCCCATTTTACGATATGTTTCGTGTTGAAAGAGTATCGTAACACAGAATAAGAGTTTATTGGATATCCACACTTTCTCTCTCACGAAGAACTTGATAACAGCATTTGTACATGTTGTCATTGGACATAGACGGCACGTGACTTCCGTTTCACTTCTATTCGATTGGTTGCAATAGTTCCGTTCTAGCGGCGACTACGAGTCAAGCACAGAGCTTTGTGAGTCGGAGGACGTCCTTCTTTCGTCTACTTAATTGTGGGAACCCTACGAATGGCCTTGGAATCTAGCCACCGGCTATTCGCGTCATTCCTTCCAGCTTATCAACGTTACCCTTACATCCATACGATGAATACGTCTCCGACAGAATCAGGGTAACACTTGAGTCCAGATGTCGCGCACGCTATCATCCTGAGCGGCACGTATCAGTGAGTACGCCCCAACCGTCTGGACCAGCCGCGTAAGAAGTGCTTCCTTCTGCAGTGCGTGCATTGGCGACTACTAATTCGGATTTCTCGTCTGCTGCAATGCGAGCACGTTTTCAACGGCTGCACCACTATGACATACTATTCTCGCCACAGATGCGTGTATACCGTGCGTTATGTTCAAGATCATGATGATTTTCCACCAATGAACCTTTTTGAGCGCGAAGCGAATCCTTCTACTCCACACTACATACGACGACTTTTCGTGTCACCTGACGAGAAACATCGAATCTGTGGCGTTTTTCTCACGATTCCACGTGGGTAGGTCGTCAGCCACTCTGTGCTGACGGAGGAGGCTGGCTTGCGGGGCGGACCGTTCAGGGTCCAAATTACATGCATTTGACCCACCCGCTAGCGACGCATAGTACATCTTAAGGCACCCTACATGCAATAACAACTTTCTAGATGCGGGAGCATGTTGCGACGCCTGCACGTCGTCGTAACCAGCGTTCAGAGAATCCTACGCTAATGTCAAGCTATTGTTTTGTGGAAGGAGCGAACTATTCTAGCGTCATTAGCCAGATAGCGGCACGCGAGAATCGGCAAGCAGTCTCGACGTGGAAGATGTCCACGGTCCTGCGCCAGTGAATGCGGCTGCAATGCCTAGGACGAGAAAGGAAGGAATCGAACCACTCACGACAAGAACTTTACTGGATTTGCATGCCACAGGGTCGACGAGTCGTGTGGTGTGCTTTGCAGTTTTTCATGTTTTCTGTGGGAACAATAAACTATCTATCCTTGGATACCGAAGTCCAAACTCCAAGCACACTCAGCGAAAGCCACTATGGCAGGAATCTCCTATGTACAGCAGCTGGAAAACGTTCCGCAGGCTGTCGCAATAGTAGCAATTGTATGTTCTTACACTCCTATACTTCGACTCATCACTGTGTACTGACAAGCTTGCCTTCGCAGGCCATCTTCGTTCTAACATCGGTCATAATCTATGGGTGTTATTTGCACCCACTTGCTCATGTCCCTGGTCCATTCCTAGCAAAGTTCTCCCCAGTGCGTTCTTCGAATCAAAACTGAATACTGTTTTCCTGATAGTTAGAAGATATGGGGCATGAGGGCTCTCTACCGCATGAAATTCAATTCAGATCTTCAAGCTCTTCATAACAGATATGGTAAGAACTGCCAAGACTTGTATTGTAGAAGCAACCCTGCTAATAACAGACAGGGCCTGTCGTCCGAATCGCACCGAACGAAGTGTCATTCGCGACATTCGAGGCAGAGACTACGATATATGCAAAGCAAGAAGATGGTCGTTTCTCCAAAGCTGGAACGTTCTTGACTCTTTTCTCGGACCTTGTCTTGAATGCTCCAACTCTCATCACTATCCCGGATCCAGCGCTCCACAAGAGACTACATAAAGTGATTCAACAAGCTTTCACACCTCAAGCACTCGCGAGCCAAGAGCCGATCCAGAAACTGCATATCGAAAGAGCAATGCCCGATTTCGACGATATTGCTGTGAACGGTACCGAGATAGATCTTGCCGACAAGTTAGAGACAATGTTTTGGGAAATCATAGGTGATCTTGCTTTTGGGGAGCCATTGATGGCTGGAAAACGACGTAAGTTCCAGTGCGGCACCATAAACACTTGACATCGAGCTGACCTTATGTGAAGCAACATATGAGTCCTTGAAAAGATTGGGCAAAGGATCGATGCCTATAGTGGAAGCCTTGAGCTTCATGCTGGTCATGCCTGGTGTAGCCCCTGCGCTTGAGACAGCCAGAAGCCTTATCTCCGCAATGCCGATTCCTTCTCAGCTGTCGAAGCTTGTCCCATCCAAGAGACTACGCGATTGTATTGATAGGCAGGATGGCAGAGAAGACTTCATTTCGGCTATCATGGGCAGCGAAAAGCAAGGATTGACGCTCGACGCGGATGCTTTCTTTAGTAACGCGATGGGCCTAACGTGAGTGGCATCCTTTCTCAATCCGCAATGACGTCTACTGATAGCTGCAAGACTCGCTGGGTATCAGACTACAGCTACGACGCTAGCATCTACATTCTACCATGTCCTGCGGTACACAAACACTTACATCACACTATGCGCTGAGATACGTTCTACATTCACCAGCGAAGCCGACATCACGGGCGAACGGCTTGCACGATTACCGTTCCTGAACGCTTGCATCAGGGAGACTTTGCGCTTGCTTCCACCGGCGAACGGCAAAACAGCGCAACGCACTGCTCCTTCTTGCACTATAGCGGGAACATACATACCCGCAGGCACCATTGTCTCGGCTGACCTATACACAATTCAGAGATCGTCACAGTACTTTAATGACCCTGCTAGCTTTCGACCGGAGAGATGGTTGGAAGGTGCGGAGAAGAACGGGTTCGATGGTGACAATAGGTCTGCCAGTCGTCCCTTCTTGATTGGTAGTAGGGCATGTATTGGAAGGCATATGGCGCAGCAAAGCATAAGGCTGATCATGGCGAGATTGTTATGGAGGTACGACTTCGAGCTGCTGGATCGGGACGGATTCATCTGGGAACAGGACGCCGGAAGCAGCCTGATCTATACGGACTACACACTTTTAGTGAAGGTCTTGAGGAGATAAACTGCCTGTGAGAGCTGTCCAAATGTGGTTTCGAAACCATTCACGTAGAGATTAAAGTCATCGATGCAGCCGTTGAGGTTAATGTTACACACGAGGTGTGTTCAGGCACGAGATGTGTGATGATTGCGACATTTGTGACTAGTCCAAGACGGGTTAAGCCGTGTTTCATCCTATGTCGGCAAGTTCGAGACCCCGAAGTCCGACAACAGCAACACGTTGAGGTTCTCATCTCATCTGAACATCGCATTTGCGTAGCACTGCATTTCCATTACGCTGCACAACAACAGTCATCGAGTCTAAAGCACTTCAAGGGTACGGTCACTATCATTCTCTGTCACTCCATATCTTGAGTCATTCCTTTGCAGCTACACACTCCAAAGCAGACTATAGCTAGCCATTACTTCTCTTCTCTCGCATTACAGCAGCAAGTATCATAACATCTATCCATTCGAGAGGCACTACTTCCTCATCTACTTGCTTTCTTGTTTCGTTTTGTGAAGAGGGTGTCTCGGAACATTGAGCGGCATCGCGCGCAATTGAGGCAGTTTCCAGAGCCCTAAACCCGATCGGGCGGCATACATTCAGAGCACCCTGTTGGTGACGACCAAGCATTCTGACGAACGTACTCAAAATTCCACACCTATCGATTGTGTTGAGGGGCAGGCATCATGCGGGGCATATCGTTGTTGTCGTTCGTTCTCTTTCCCCTCATCTCTGTACCTACCGTCTTTGCATCAGAACAACAACCCTTCGAATACGGCGCTATGTCTGCACCACAGTACACTCTTCCTCCGCTGCCATATGCGTACGATGTAAGTATAACATCCGACGATCGAATCGCTTCAGCATACGCCATACTCACGGATCACAGGCGTTGGAGCCGCACATCTCCGCCCAGATCATGGAGCTGCACCACAGCAAACACCACCAGACGTACATCACCAACCTGAACGGGCTTCTCAAGACCCAGGCCGAGGCTGTTTCAGCCTCCGACATCACCTCTCAGGTCTCCATACAGCAAGGCATCAAATTCAACGCTGGTGGTCACATCAACCACTCGCTCTTCTGGCAAAACCTTGCACCTGCTAGCTCGAATGAGGCCAAAACCTCTGCTGCGCCGGAGCTCGTCAAGCAAATCAAGGCGACATGGGGTGATGAGGACAAGTTCAAGGAATCCTTCAACGCCGCTCTGCTGGGTATCCAAGGAAGTGGATGGGGCTGGTTAATCAAAACCGACATGGGCAAGGAGCAAAGGCTGTCTATCGTGACGACCAAGGACCAAGATCCTGTTGTTGGTAAGGGCGAGGTTCCCATCTTTGGTGTCGACATGGTAAGTCGCTCTTAGCCTCGTGGCAATGGTCGTGTGTGACTAATTGGAGTTTCAGTGGGAGCATGCGTACTATCTCCAATACCAGAACGGCAAGGCTGCCTATGTCAAGAACATCTGGAACGTCATCAACTGGAAGACCGCGGAGGAGCGTTACCTAGGATCGCGCGCAGACGCGTTCAGCGTGCTCAAGGCATCCATCTAAGCTATGAAATGGGATCCGAGAAGAACAAAGAATGACACGGATGATGTAGACTCCATGTATACTGTTGTCGCTTGATGTACATACAAACACCTTGAGAGCACCATGGTGGATTTTAGCGCATGTGCATTGACCAATCGGGTGCTCTCCTGAAACTTGCTCAAAGACACGCATTCACTCTCAACCCTCAAATACCCAACAACCAAGTTATGAAACGGTGTGAACACTCTGAAAACTACATAGTCTTTCTTTCCCCGGCTCTTATCGTCGATCATATCTAATTTCACGCCCAACTCGCTTTTACACTCTCCCGTCTTGTGTAACATTGCCCTCGCATCGATCTCAAAGTGCTGTCCGCATAGCACCTAGTCCACCAACGAGACACTCTTATACATCAAATCACATCTAAGATGTGCAACGGTAGCTCAAATCGCGTCAGCCAAGGCGGTTCAATAGCAGTCATGCGCCCAACCTCCCACTTAGCACGAACGCATTCAGAACAAGAAATATTTCTACTTTTTACCAACCCGCTCTCCAAATCTGGTACTAGTGTCGAGTGCCAGGGCCTTGACGATGCCTTACAACAAAATAGTCATTGGCTCGTTATACAGTACGTGTCATGCTGGTCTACCATTGGGTTTTGGAGCAGGTGGAGATGGCTAACGGCGTGAAATAGTCGTGACGGCGATCTCTCCGCGCCACCACCAGAAAGTATAGCAGACTCTTTATACTCCTTCGAAATCGGGAGTTCGCTAGGAGGCATGATGCATCTACCAGAGAAACTGCATTTGGGTGTTGGTGACAAGGGCATCATTGGAAGAAGAGTCTCGGTCATGACGGGGTCAACCCAGCGGCCTTTGACATTAGCGGAAGGCGTCGTGGGATGGAATTAACAAGCCATTTTTCGATGATATTTTTTTGTATCAGTGTTTCCTTAATAACGACAGTGTTCAAAGAAACCCCATAAGACGAACCTCTCCATGCATGTTACAAGAACGTTTGCCAAAGGTAAAGACAGTGGGGATATGACAGTGGAAGATAAAGAAGACCAAAACTCTCTCAACAACTCTACTGTAGGCGAGAACAGAGTTGCCTAAAACAATCAAAAGCAGGTAACGAGATCATGACCTTCGCCTGCATGCCGATTCTCCTCGGACGCAATTTAAGCTGTCTCACACCGATATCGCCTGGAAACTACAGTCCTAGTCATGAAATCGCTGGTGAGTCTAGTTATTGCAGGGAATTTCACATCCCGTGCAGTCCAAGTTTTGCTCAGCTTTGTCGCACGTGCAGGACTTTGCGCAGAAGTGATCAACACGTCTGCATTCGACCAAACACGCCTGTACGGCATCATGGCATCTTTCGCAAGCTGCTACCCATCCATCGGATGTAGTTGCTGGTGGTGCCGATTGTTCAGTTGTCTCGGTAGGCGCTGGGGTAGGTGTAGGTGTGGGAGACGTCGGCGGCTGAGGGGACTCTGATGACGCTTCCGGGGTTTGAGATGAAGAAGTAGCTGGCGAAATATCCATTCCACCCAACGAGACGAGAGACTTGGTAGAGCTATTCATTTGACTGCTCTGTGGCGTGGAGGAAGAATTGGCAGTCGCTGAAGATATGCTGACACGTGCAGAAAGGGAGGAGGTCATGGAAGACATGGTAGCACTTGTAGGAAAGGCAGAGGTCGTCCCAGAAGAGCTGTAGAGCATTAGTCAAAACACCAAGAGGGACGGGAGTCTGTCTGTTTCCTGGAACTGACCTCATAGATGTGGGCAGGATGGATGAGAGGGAACAAAGCTCTTCGTCCTGTCGCTTTCCGAACTTGTCACGACGTTGCACACAAGAGTGCGAACCGTGGAAGGGGTCTCCCCTGGCGAGATTGTACACAACTTTCCCTGCTGTCCGATCATCGCTGGCGATTGCGTTGCTCCTCAGCCATGCATGGTCCTTCAATATCGTCTTCATGGGGGTTTGTTGCACATACGGAATCTCTTGCCAGTTCGGTAGACCATACAAATATGCAATGAGACCTGACTGTTGTACAAGTTAGCATCGACATACATCCAATCGTGCATACCTTCTTACCGTGATCGCAGCAGCGTGGCTTGTTCCTTCCCTTTCACCTTCAGGTGGGGTTATGCCGCCAGATTTTGGGATGGTGACGGGTTTAGCAGGCGCATGCACGGTTATCTGGTTGTTCGGGTCTTCAACCGTTTTTTCGTACAAGGCGCTACTGTCAGTCACACCTCCGACTATAATCATGGTATCATCGGCTGTCCAGAGTCTTTGTGGAAAGCTATCATGAACGAAGTTAACCGCTGGCATGTTCCCCGCAGCAACCACCACAGGTATACTCCGCGCCTTACAGAAATCCAGAAAATTCTCGAAGATTTTCGTGATTCGTTCAATCTCATCGTCTGATTTACCAGGTTCTTGTATGCCTGTTAGGATGGTGAGTTACGGATTGGTGCAATCAGAAGCTGATAACTAAACGCTTACCCCATGACATGTTGATAACAGACCTTGCTCCTGGATCTTGGCTTGTTCTGTCCTCTATATCTTTTATCACCGCATCGATGAACCATGCCAAAGCCAGCGTCGTGATGGGTAAGGTGTATGAGACATTGGGGTCGAATTTGCTTTTCATCGTGTTCTTGGTCTTCACTAAGCATAGATCTGCTTTGGGCGAGATTCCTCGTTCGACTCCAGCAGCGATTGTAGCCATCCTTTTCTCTTTGTCAGCCTTGTCGCGCTCACGTTCATGTACTATGACACTTACATCGTTCCATGGTCGCCACCTTGAATTCGTTCAGGCATGGTTCTGTCAGGGTATGCTGGATCATACGGTATGACCGGGAAAGACGTCAATTCGTTAGGGGTTACGATTGTATTGACGGAACGTGTGCCAGCTTGTAAATCCTATTCAAGTCAGCTCCCGTGCTTCAAGGTGGATGATTAATACGAAAACAAACATACAACATTATCTGTGTCAAAGCCATCGTCCAGAACATAGATGGTGACTCCTTTCCCCAGAGAAGCATCCGCCAGATAAGGTGGATCGAACTGAGGTCCGGAGTCTGCTACATCGATATCGCGCGGCGGGGCGGAAAGCATTTTTTTCCACCAAGGTGCATCAGGATTTGATGGTAGCAACGCTCGTGGTATCAAGTGAGGAACTGGATCTAAAGAGGCTGCAGACCAACCCATAAAACTCTTTGGTGCCGGAGGTTTACCTAGATCAGTGTGTAAAGAGCGACTTTGGCCAATCGCTCGAAACTCATCAATACTGTGGTCTATAGTTTCATCGAATTCGTACGGAAGAACGCTGCCGATGAAGTCGTATCGCTCTTTTATCTCTGACACCTGCGAGGCATTCAACTTGGCGATGTATATCTGTTGCCGGGTGCTGTCCAACTTGGCAAGGTATCCATTTCCCCCATCGAGTTCAGTAATGAACTGGTTGAATGTGTCCCACGATGTCCCGTACTCGCTGATGATCCCGTACCTCTTCGTAGCGTCTGGGGTCGGTGTGGGTGTTTCACTGCTAGAAGAAGACGTCTGGCTTGAAGTGACTGTAGAACTTGCGCTCATCGCTGTGGATGATATGGCAGTGGATGACTTCATCGACGTAGTCTGCGCAGTCGAAGTGCCTTGAGTACTTTGTAGCGAGGCTGTGTTCGTGGCTTTCTCTGTTGTATCTGGGTCCACCGTCTGGCTTGGTACCTCGGCTTCCTCCCAATGAAAGTCCCGGAAAGCTTCCATAGCCGCCTTGCACTGAGCCAAAGGGCCATCGTCTTTAGTGAAGTCCGCTGCCGTTGACTTAAGCTTCGACTGAACGTCGGCCGGTAGGTTAGGGAAGTCCTGAGCTAGATTCGCCGTTGACTTCATCCAGTTCAGGGACTGTCGGGCGAGTGATTGAGCACCTGTGAATGTATCCAGGGCACCTTTGGTGAGTTCGCTACCAGGAAAAGACTTCTGGATACCGTTAAGCGATGATACGAACTTTCCCATGTTGCCAGCGGCACCGGATAGTGGTTCAGAAAGGCCAGCTGCTGCACCGACTGTGCCTCCAGCAAAGCCAAGGGCACCTGTAGTAACAGAACCAACTCCGTCAATGGCACCTCCGATGGCAGATGTGGCACCCTTTGCGATACCGCCAAGCGCCCCGAAAAGACCTCCACCTGCACCATCGCCATTGTCATCGTCGTCGTCGCCTTCTTCCGGTTCTGCAGCTTCCCCAGGCTTCGCGGTAATATCATCCGAAAGTGCTGTTTCGCTGGTCGGGTCCGATGGGACGGTTACAGTCTGACCTCCGATAATGATCTTGTTCGCGAGAAGCTGAGCGATGGAACCGTCATGTAACATTACGTCGATTGCATCTTGATCGGAAGAAGGCAGCTGGTAATTTACGCCGCCAATCACAGCTTCGAGACTGGGTCCAGTTGGTATCGCCGCAGGAGTTGTAGCAGCTTGCGACGGCTGACTTGAAGACATGATCTCCCCAGCGGTGGTGTCCGATGACTGAGTGGTGGTGATTATGATAGTACTTGGCGCACCATCCGACGTAGTGACAGTAGTTGTCACAAGAGTTGGGCTGACGGCAATAGTGGTATCAGGTGTACTATGACTGGAGCTGGATAACAGTCCTACCGATGCTGATGAAGAGAGAGGTGTGATCGATGTGGGTAGATTTTGAGAGCTATTCGAGTTTCCCGAGAAGGATGTTGATATCGTTGAGGCTGATAACGAAGCTACTCCGCTCGCAGAAGTCTCTATGGAAAGCTTGCTCGATGAAGTCAGGTAGATACTGCTGGCAAAGACTAGGCTCGATCCATTCGATAGCGACGCAACAGAGGTTGAAAGCAACCCAGAAGAGGCCGGTGTCAATGAACTGACGAGAGACGTTGCCGATACTGACGCCGTACCACGGGATGAGTTTACCTTGGGAGTCGATTTAGTCGGATAGACGGTTGCCGGCGCGGAAGATAGTATCCCAGAAGGACTGACACTTGTGCTCAGGAGATACGGATCGGCTCTTGAAACGTCCCTAGGCACTAACGGGTCGTCGTCTGGGTGAGAATTAGTCATTGGTTCAATTTTAAAGCCATCATCGACTGACCAGTATCGGAAAGATGGTAAGGCAAGGAAGCGTGAACACTGCCAAGGATTAGTACGTAAAGGAGCAAATGAAAGAGCTCCATCTCGTGGAAATTCTGCGGGTATTTGTAATGTTGTCGTGGATTCAATTGTGAGACGCTGGTGTGGACCAAGATGACAATTGATGAACTGATTCACACAGTACTTATAACTCCTAAGTGAATGCATGCTTACCAGGCACTTCTACCTTATCAGCATAATCAACAAGCTTGCGTTGGTGATTGTGATGACCTTTGCGTCAGACGTGGTACAAGTCTCATTCAGAAACCATCGCCAGCGCCGTCGGGTAACAGCTGTGAGCCAGATATATGGGTCGAACGAAAGCGCTACGTCAGGATGTCGGCGTCCGATGAAGGTACACTACCAGATCTGTTGACAGAGTGCTTTTGCCGCCTCCAATACGGCAAAGAATCTGACACGAAAACCCTCGCCACCTCTTCGGTCCATATGAGATCGATGGGTATGCGCCGATGCGAAACAAACGACGGTGTCAAAATGGGTCGAAAAGGCTGATCCGGATTGACGCTCAAGAATACGGCAAGAACTTCGCCGCCTCCTTATGTGCGGGCTGAAATATCAGTCTATGTGTAGTTACGGCGAGGTTGGTCGTTTGATAAAATTTGGGGGCGCCTGGAGACGATGCCGCGTCCTCGGCGAAGTGACTTAACGTCGCAAATCTGCAGGTGCCGGAGAAGACAAATGGCCCCTAATGCTGTCGTGGAAAAGAGATGAGGCGGGAGATGTTGAATGACGCCGGAGCAGACCTCAAGGAGTGCTGAGCCGCATTGGCACACCTCATCAGTACTGCACCACATGAAACCACGCTTCACCAGGGCTCGCGACCTTGTGTAGGCTCTATTATGGTGATAGCAACGTGCCTCTTTCCATTGTTCGCATCTTGCGGTTCTGGAGGGGATGCTCGGCGCGCTTGACCCCACCTTCTCAAAGCTGACCAATCGTGGCTGGCCTTAAAGAGCAGCACTACTTCACGCTGTCCTGAACCCCTAATGGCATTGCTCGCTCATGAGATATCGTTCAGGACTTGCTAGAGGGCTACTTCTAGTAAATTGTGAAGAAAGCATAGTGGTAGCTCGCCTTGACCTGCTAAAATCCAAGAGCTAATCGTCCTGACATGTTCGTAATCGCAGGTAAGCGAGGGCCTGCAATTCTATCGTTCTCTCATCTGTGGGCGGTAGCTGCGCTGCTTCATCGTGTTCGTCACCTTGCTTCAATGTTGTTCTAAAGATTTGAGTCTTGCGAAAACTGTTGAGACGGTGGAACGCGGACCTGCAGGCTATTAGACACCTTCTTTCACAAGGTTGTAAAGTACATGAAGTCAACCTCGCCTATCCAGTTGGTGTGATCAAGAACAAGTAGATAACTGTAAAGACATCACTATGTAACAGCTCTGAGGGTATGATCGCATCGTGTCGCAATCCACCCACCGATTTGTGCAACATAGTTCACTTTAGTTCGGAAACAACCACATAGAGATATACCACTGAGCTCGTTCGAGGCGTTCGTTGATGGAATGTTGGTGTAAGGAGAGACGCTATGCCATGGGTCAAGGCTGATCTAACATCGGTAAGATCAGCGAGCTCGTGACGTTGCGCTTACCTCGTCCTGATTGGCTGCAATCTCCACCCGGTGGGCCTGACGTGCCCAAATTCCAACGTTCATCTCCGCGCGGCTAACTCCATGGTCGCCCATCCATCATCTGCTCAACGTGCAAACGACAAATCGCGACGGAAATAAGGTTGGAACGGAACTGTCCACCAGCCCCGTGACTACAACAGCGTCAAAAGCTCCGACTCTACCGCAGCGCCGCAGACCTTCGCACCATGTGAACGCCGAGAGCGTGAGGCATTTAGGCAGAATGCAGAAAACACGCTAATATCCCGCTGTGGAGTCTCCACACTCTGGAGTGTACCAGTTCGAGGAGGCGGGGCCTGGCAGCATGGATGTCCGCGGACCGGCAAATGCACGTTGTTAATCTATACGATGCGCAACGGCCGCTTCGTATGCCTCTCGATGCACCAGCTTGACGATAAAGCTTGTGACTCTACCAGATATCAGGATATACACCATCATCACATCCAACAAGTCTTCCCCAAGCCCGTCATGTCAGCTTCAAAAAGACCGGTCAGTCTCGTGCCAGCTCCAAGACGTAACGACCTCACAAACACGTCGAATCAGCCGTGATTGCTCATCATGGGTGCGCCCCAACCAACCCTCCCCGCGTCGCCTTAGCCCTCCACGCGTCTGATCAATAGTGCGCCCAGCCGTCAGTGGCTTCTAGCTTACTTCCTTCCCGCACGTTACAAGCAATGGCGCGCCAATGCCATGACAGCCACCGATGCTTGAATCGCTGCCGCAACGCCAAAATAAGCGTCGGTGCCACTGAGCTTAACCGCCAATTTACCCGCCACGAGAAAGCTTCGCACCCACGACCACTCAGCATGCAGTCCCTGTTACCCGAAATAGTGGTATGCTGACCTGGGGTGCCGTACAAGCGATCTGGAAATGCATATGTAGGGCCTGCTTGCCCCATGTTTTCCTTGGTATTGGGATCCCAACGGTTGTTTTCTCGACAATCTTTTACTTCGATCTTTCCATCTACCAACGTTACCTGAACCGTCATCATGGCTCCTGTCGGCGGTGGTGCTGGGGACTTTGAGGTGGCCGCTTTGGCTCGCCGCAAAGCACTTGCTGGTGCCTCGGGACCCATGGCCTTGGTCAAGAATGCCAGAGTCTTTGGTATCGCATGTTTCGCTTGTTTGGGAGGTCTCCTCTATGGTTACAACCAGGGTGTCTTCTCTGGTGTGCTCACCATGCCTTCCTTCAAGCAGCGTAAGTAGTACCTCACCACCACAATTCCAAGAATATTACTGACAGATGATCAGATATGGGCAACTACATCGAGGACCAAGAGACTCTTACGTGGAACTCCTCCAAGCAAGGTTGGCTCGTATCCATTCTCGAGCTCGGTGCTTGGTTCGGAACAATGTACTCTGGTTTCCTCGCCGAGATCCTCTCCCGTAAATATGCTATTCTCGTCAACGTTGCCATTTTTATCATCGGTGTCGTCGTTCAATGCACCGCTTCCGCAGGCCAGGGCCACAACGCTATTCTCGGTGGTCGTTTCATAACGGGTATGGGTGTCGGTTCGCTCTCCATGATTGTACCCATGTACAATGCCGAGATTGCGCCTCCCGAAGTCCGTGGCGCTCTTGTCGGTCTCCAGCAACTGAGCATTACGCTTGGTATCATGATCAGTTTCTGGATCGACTATGGTACCAACTACATTGGTGGCACTGGCAGGGAACAAAAGGAGGCTGCATGGCTTCTTCCCCTCGCTCTCCAGCTTGCTCCTGCCGTCCTTCTTGGCGTCGGTATGATCTTCATGCCCTTCTCTCCTCGTTGGCTCGTTCACCACGGCAAAGAGGAGGAGGCTCGCCGCGTTCTCGCACGCCTCCGTGGTTTGAACCAGGACCACGAACTCATCGAACTCGAATACGCTGAGATTCGCGCTCAGAGTCTGTTTGAGAAGAAGTCGCTCGCAGAGCGATTCCCTCATCTCCAGGATATGAGCGCGCTTTCAATCTTCAAGCTGCAGTTCGTCGCTATTGGCAGTTTGTTCACGACGAGGGGCATGTTTAGGCGTGTGGCCATCTCTACGCTCACCATGTTCTTCCAGCAGTGGACTGGTATCAACGCGATTCTGTACTACGCACCGACTATCTTCCAAGGATTGGGCCTGTCGGGCAACTCGATCAGTCTGCTTGCGACTGGTGTCGTCGGTATCGTCATGTTCCTCGCAACCAGTAAGTTTATCATAGAATATCCCTAGGTCTAGATTATGACACTAACATCCTCCCCAGTTCCTGCAGTTATGTACGTCGACAAACTCGGTCGCAAGCCCGTCCTCGTCTCGGGCGCCATCGGCATGGCCGCCTGCCACTTCATCATCTCTGGCATCGTTGCTTCCTACGAAGACGACTGGCCAAACCACCAGGGCGCCGGCTGGGCTGCCTGCGTCATGGTCTGGCTTTTCGTCATCTTCTTCGGCTACTCCTGGGGTCCTTGTGCATGGATTGTCATTGCAGAGATCTGGCCCATGTCGAACCGTCCATATGGTATCGCGCTTGGTGCCTCATCCAACTGGATGAACAACTTCATCGTTGGCCAGGTCACACCAGACATGTTGACGCATCTGCGCTACGGAACGTACATCTTCTTCGGTATTTTCACAGCTATGGGCGCGGCGTTCATCTTCTTCTTCTTCCCGGAGACCAAGGGTCTTTCTCTTGTAAGTCACCCTTCTTCCCAACATCCCTGTAAGAGCCGTACTAACGACCTTGATAGGAAGAAATGGACACCCTCTTCGGTTCCGTCGGTACCGCCGAGCGCGAGAAGGAGCGTTGGGCTGAGGTTCACAGGGAGGTCGGTCTTACTGATATCCTCGAGCGCTCTGGTGTGTACCACGACAGTGGTGCTGCGGACTACCACGAGAAGAGCAGTCTGGAGAAGGAGAAGCCCCAGGTCATGGAACACGCTTAGATTAGAAGCGGTCAGGCTTGGTATACTAGGTGGATGGTCGGCGACGAATCATTGTAAGGGTGGACGGCATGTACATGTACCCTTTCGCTTAGCATGTTCTTTCCACCTGAGCGATCAGGCTATATCCGCCCCAACACAGTACAATACAACGTATCACTACATATCACTCCTGCACCACCATGTGATCACCCCTTTACCACACTACCCACTTGTCCATCTACCGAGTAGTCTGCCTCTTGACCTTGTCGCCAACCTTGACAGCAGGCCTGATCAACTTCCTCGCTCCCAACTGCACAGCCGGCCTCTTGACCCCAAGTCCCTTGACAACCTTCTCTTCCTCAACAGTCTGTTCCTGGATCCTCTTGGCTACCTCCTCCCACACGCCCGGCACTCCCGTCTTCATCGTATACAACCGTCCTTCTTTGACATAGAACTTGAACCGCGGCTCACGAACCACTTCTCCCATGCGTTTGACGATGCCTTTCTCCCGCTGCCGCTGAGCCCAAGCGTCGCTCTTCGGCAGCTCGATGTTTGCCAGGCGGAAGCGTTTCGGTGGTAAAGCACGGAGTTCGTGGAGAAAAGCGGTGGTGTGCTTGCGAAAGGGGAAGATGCGTAGGGTGACGAATTCGAGTTTTGTGTTTGCTGTTTGGTTGGGGTTGGTGCGCAGAGAGGTGGCGAAGCGGATCAGGTCGGAACGGGAGCGGCGGGCGTGTTCGGGTATTTGGAGGAAGACTTGGTGGACGAAGGGGGCGGTTAGGTAGGCGAGGGTTAAGGTGGGGATTGTGCCTAGGACGCCGACTGTGGGGAGCTGTTAGTCTTGGTGATTTGGGTGTAGATGTTATGGATGTGTGATAGGGGTGGTAGATAGATTAGACTTGATAGGAACGAATCGCAGTGAAGTAAAACTTGTGTAACTTGTGGTGGAAAGACATGGAAAGGAAGTTGTTATCAGCTCCGCTGCTGGACCACGGGATTGTCATGCACGGTAGCAATCATGGCCACTAGTAGAAGTAACGAGAGTTAAGAATAGTTGGCATGAACATGAGTTACTTACCCGTGATAGCTTGCATCTTTCTTACTCGCTCATCGGGTTGGTTTGTGTTGTTCCATAGTGGCGGTACACCGAAAACGAGGGTGGTCCCAAACTGCAGCAGAGCCATTGCTTTCCAGAAGGATATCCATGTGGTTCGTGCATCGCCCGCATCGTAGATCAATAACCTCGACTTGTATTCTGAATTCTTCGTCAATCATGTTCTTCGCATCTGTCCTTGTCCTCTTGCATGTAGGCCAGATCGTTGCGCAACGTACTTCGCTCTTTTTCAACGGTTTTGGCTGCCGACTTGGAAGACTTTCCGAACCACTGCAAGGTTGGCGAGGCGGAGAATTTCCGCTGGCAACTCCGGCATACAAAGGCATTGATGCGAGCATTGACCATTGGCCGTATGCCTCTATTTGCTGGTGCCGAGCTTCGAAAAGCGGCCGCAAAGGCGAGAAGTCGTGGCTGCATACCAACTGAGGGACGTGGGAAAAAATTGCACTTCTCTGCTTCACTCAAGTCGGCGGGTGGTTGACGTCTCTGTCGCGCGACTGCCAACCTCGCCTGCTGTATGCCTTAGCACGACGCTTACTCAGCAATGAGGTTGTATGGGCGTGTAAGGGTCGAGGTAAACCGCAAACAGACTCTGAGGTTGTCGCGCTGTCACGTGTGTGTGTGGTGATCGGCACGGTGCGGGAACTTTAGCCGATGCCGGTAAGGCTGGCGTTGGTCGAGAGAAGCCACGATTGCCTCGACCCACTCGACCGTCGACGTCGGTATGCTCCTTTCGCGACCCTGAGCTATCTTCCCGCCGCGTTCTGGATTGATCGCGCGCTCTTCATGTGACACGTCGGCAAGATGTTGTTCGCATTCGCGCTGCTGCCGCTCATTTCATTACTATCTCTCGGACACGCCTACCAGGCCCTCGAGGATGAGACGCTCAAACACCTACCCGGGCCGGGCGATGACTTCGACATAAAGAAGGGCTCGATACTGGCGCCCATCTTGATCCCCAGAGTCTCGGGGACAGACGGCAATGCCCTTGTTCGCCAGCATTTTCTGAATTTCTTCAAGTCGCAGCTGCCGGAATGGAGGATAGAGATGCACAACTCGACGTCGACGACGCCGGTGAGCAAAGGCAAGGAAGTGCCGTTTGTCAATGTTATTGCGACACGCGACCCACCGGGCAGCTTTCAGGGGGATGTTTCGCGCCTGGCCTTGGTCGCGCATTATGACAGCAAGTATACACCGAAAGGCTTCATTGGAGCCATCGACAGCGCGGCCCCATGCGCCATGATCTTGCACATCGCTCGCAGCATCGACGCGGCGCTGACAAAGAAGTGGGCTGCGGCGGACCCGGACGACTTTAACGTGGAGCACAAGGGAATGCAGATCCTGTTGCTCGACGGCGAGGAGGCCTTCAAGACCTGGACCGACACGGACAGTCTGTATGGCGCGCGGTATGGTTCACGTCTACACCCCCGCAGTTGGTAACTGACACGTGCACAGAGCTCTCGCCGAAGACTGGGAATCCACTTTCCACGCCGCGTCCTCGATATACCGCACCCCGCTCGATTCGATCGATTTGTTCCTGTTGCTCGACCTCCTTGGCTCCAAGGGCCCAAATGTACCGTCCTACTTCAAGACCACGCACTGGGCATACAAGCACATGGCGACGGCCGAGGCACGCTTGCAGAAGCTGGGCTTGATGAAATCTTCTCCAAATCACGAGTCCAAGATGGCCAAGCGCAAGGACAAGAAACCCCGCGCCGAACGCCCCTTCCTTCCTGACGCGAACAAACAAAACGATGCTTTCATGGGCGGCTTCGTGCAGGACGACCACGTTCCCTTCATGGCGCGCGGCGTGGAGATCCTGCACATGATCCCAACTCCCTTTCCAAGAGTGTGGCACACAATCGAAGACGACGGAGAGCACCTAGACATGGACACGGTAGAAGACTGGACAAAACTCGTCATGGCATTTACCGCAGAGTGGATGGAGCTAGAGGGCTTCTTCGACTTCAAAGCGGAGAAGCGGGAGGTGGGTGCCGAGAAATCGGAACTGTAAGCTACTTCCTATTAATATGATTGCATGTAAGTTAACGCGCCATAGTGAGATACCCTAGACCCTTACGAATCAATTTTTCGAGCATACCACCAAAGTGATACAATGCGTTGTGCCTTGTGTTTACGCTTACCTCGAGTTGCACACTGACTGATACTGACACGGACAAAGGCTAGGTATAGGCACAAAGCAAGTTGAGCGCGCGTCTTTGACGAAGGACTCTTGAAAGACATGTTCACGACGAGTACAAATGTCCCAAGTATTCGAGGAAGCGGCAACACCGCTCAAGTGCGGCCACAATATTGTCTCCTAGATTTGCTCATTGACAAGCTGACCTATATCTGATGTTACAATCGCTTATACCCAGATTTTCAAGACCACCCTGCAGTACCCACCATGCCCAAAGGTAAACCAAAGAAGGATAATCCCGCGCTGTATGGGGGCTCGCCAGAGCCTTCAGAACCCAGCACAACCCGTTATGCTGCTGTACATAGGCGGGGCGGCACACATAAAGTACGCGACGAGCACAAGACTGACTCCAAATACGATAACTACAACTACAAGGAGCTTGTCGATCAAGCAAAGGAGCGCGGCATCTATCGCAAGGATATGAAAAAGGTTGAGATGGCATGGGCTCTGAAACACGATGGTGAAGAAGAAAGACGTGCGGAGCAAGATGCCGTGCTCGCACTCCAGCGAAAGAGACAAGAGGCGAAAGAAGAGGAGGAAAGAAGAGCCGCACACAAACAAAGACAGATTGAAGAAAAGCACGAGAGGAGGATTGAAAAGGAAAGAAGGAGACAACGCGACGAAAGCGTCAGCGACGACACGCTAAGCGACGCCGACATCGAAGCCCAAGAAACAAGTCGAAACGAGTACGCGCGCGAGCAATTCGGCCACGCCCTCAGCGACGAATCCTGGAACTCGACATCGACAGAATCAAGTCCCGAACCCCCCATGGACCGCGACACCAAACCAGACTGCCGCCTCCGCCTCTTCGAATGGCCACACGAGCAACTACCAGATACCCACCCACCACGCTTCTTCTCCTTCTCCGAGCCCAAACCACGGGCCATACCCTACGCACCCCTCCGACTCACCACCACCTCGAGTAAGCAGAAACTCGTCCTGCTAGGCTCCAAATACCCGACTGGCGTCGATCCAGACTTTTGTCCATTGCTCTCCCCATGCACACGGTCCGCAGCACGCAACGGCCATTTAATCGGCACGCTCCGGCACGCCGTTGTAGAAAGCGGTGTGGACTGGGCTCAGCGCACGTTGGTGCAGGGTTGGAATGCACACATGTATTTTCACTTGGGCCCTCGTCACCACAACGAGAGTAAGCCAGGGCTGGCGGATACGTATCGGAAATGGGGGCTGGAGAAGAGGAAGGTGTTGCAGGTTAAAGGTAAAGGGGAGGCGAGGAAAGAGGAGAGAGCGGCGAGGCATGTGCAGAGGAGGAGGAATAGGACGAGGTTGGTGCAGGAGGTTTATGAGAGTTCGTTGTGGAGGCTTGGGGGTATGGGGTATGTGGCTGCTTATCTGGACTACCACTGGGGGGATGGTGGTGGCGGGGAGGGGAGGGGCACTGGACGGTTTGGTGGTGGTGGAAGAAGAGCATGGGAGAAGGAGGAGGAAAGGGTGTTGGAGAATTTGTTCTTTGTGAGGTTTCTTGGATGCGATGTTCCGCATTATTATTTCTGGTCGAGAGAGGGGGAGTGGGGGGATCCGTGTTTCCCCAATCCGGCTTGGGAAGCAGCTGGACAGTTGGATGAAGACGAGCAAGACGCTGTGGAGATAGGGGGGGATACAAAAGGTGGGAAGAGGAGATATCGACTTGGTTCGAAGAATCGCGTTGAGTCTCTCAGTTCAACTAAGACACGATTGATACGCGTACGCCGCCCGTCCTCTGCACTATCCTTCACAACTGCATCATCACCTTCCTCCCCATCCTCCCCTGTCAGCATCGCCAGCGCGATAACGCGCGCCGAATACCATTTGCATACCCACGGCCTCACCTCTACACTCTCCGCCTACCGCGCCAGATGGCTCGCTAAAGGTAAAACGACTCATTGGAAGACTTTCGCTGCAAACCTGCCCACGTTGTGGCCGAGCGGTAACATACCCGATGTGCCCCCTGTGGAAAACAGACCTGGAGCCTGCCTAGCGCTGAAGATTGCGGCGATTGATATATCGGGCCTGGGAGAAAAGACGATATGTAGTCCGTTGATGGGTGGGGAGGCGTGGACGGGGAATGATGATAAGCTTTGGGAGGTTGTGGAGGTTGTGGAGGGTGACGAGGATCGTGAAGATGACGACGACGAGACTGGTGACGAGAGTGACGATTTTGGTGGGGACGACGTAGACGAAGAGGAGGCAGACGGTGAACTTGAGGAGATTGGTTACGGGAACGATGACGAAGCGTTGTATCGACGTGGTAGCATGGTCTTTGCACACGACAACATGTACGCCGATCCGGTCATAGCGTGGTTGGAGAAGGTCAGTCCGACGTTCGCTCCATCGACCACGCTGATGAGTGCACCGAAAGCTCCGGGGGTGGAGATGGAGCTGAAGAATTGGGAGGCGAGATACCTAAAAAATCATGCAAACGCAGAAAATGATGTATCTCCACTTTTGTAGGGGTCGGAGCAGATCGGTAGCTGGAATCCGTTCTAGGACTGCTTATCGGAACAGGGGAGGATGGTTGACAATGCACCAGAAACAAGCGAGGCATATGCTATGCTACTGTCATATGTGACTTGTGAAGCATCGACGTACATCAGTATCACAACAGGTATCCGTTACTTGTTCATCCGGTGCTCAAGAGACGAGGTTCGACCAGAAAGTGGGAATAGGATTTAGCCCCCAAGCTCAGAGCATTGACACGCATCGCCATCTGGTATACTGTTGCGAAAAAGCAGCCATCAGTTGACCATGGTAAAGTGTCTGTCATATCATCCCCTCGTGTCCAGAAGCCGAGAAACCATTTCCTCGAACGCACGGGACCGATACGCAACAAACGAAGGAGATGTATTGGCATTGAAGATTGTCTATAACTTCCAGGCATCTACCTTACGAAGCTTGCAAAGCGACGACAGATCGGCAAGCCGTGCTTGGAAGTTGTTCTACCTACTACCCTAAGCTGATGTACCACTGGACTTGGAAGAATATTTCGCAATCAACATTAGTTCCCGCAAACCCCCCACCTGTTTTCGTACCGTTTCTAGTTTTTCGGTGTGCTCGGCGGCGTTCTCAGCATCCTCCCAACGTTGGGTGATATGATCTAGGAAGAAGTTGAGGGCCATCGGTTTCCTAAAGAATACCCCCAAATATAGCTTCTTATTAGATCCTAAAAACTTCTGAACACTCTCAGAAGACCCAGCGAAGTCGCAGAAGGACGAAATCAGTTCCAGAACAATTGCCCGACCATGCAAGTGATGAACGCCAAGGAGCAAGAACAATCCTACGTACCTGTTATGACTCTTGGTCGCTACTGTCAAAGCGCCAAAGTCTAAAGAGCCATCAAGCCTGCGCTTTAGATAACGTTCTTGCTCTCCCCAGTACTGTCGGTCTTGTCCCAGAGTTTCGAAATATTTGTCAGATACAGCGCGACTCCACGGAAAGCCAAGCCATGCTGCTTTGCATGAGACGCTATCATCTTGGATGATCTCAGGAGGAATGGTGAATCGCGTCTTACAGGGTTGTCCAGAGACCAGCCATGCATGAAAGGTGCTACTTGTTCCATCGAACAACGTTTCCCATGAACTGTCAACAACGAGGGGATCAAGTACAGCCAATTCGCAGTGCCGTGGTAAATGGCGTTCGAAATACTCTCCAAGTGAATGAATGAATTCGTAATCATGGACTGACTGTCCAGGTGACCCAAACAACGTGTTGAACAGCCTCATCACCTGACGATGACTCTTTTCACTCTGGAACAGGAGTGGCTGTGCCGTATTAGGACTTTGTTGGCCATCTTCAGCAAGACCAAGAACAAAGTGCCTTGCGGAGTCGTGGGCGAATGTGATTATGCTTTCAGTGTCGATGGTAAGAAAATCTGCTCCTAGAGTGCGTACCCACTCCTCAGTTAGGCTTTCATAATGTGATCCCTTGTGATCATGACCGACCCGCAGAATCTTCGTTAGCTCTTGGATCGACAACGGCGTAAGCCAACAAAGAACAAAGCGGAAAAGGTCTCGCCTTGTCTCGACAAAGTCATCGTATTCGTTTTGCGTCCAGAGGCGTTGATAGGCTGTTCTGAGCTGCTCGTCTTGGGTGTCGTTCTTTGAGTCATCCAACTCAGCGAGCAGGTGTTGGGCACGATTCGCGCTGAGCACAGTCTTTTGTGGATGATGTGTAGGCAATAGGATCTGAAGCCAAACCTTGATCCAGACGAACCTACAGGTGTAAGTATAAATCTTGAAGACGTGGGATAAGTACTGACATGCCCCTAGCCCGGTCTAACAAAAGCTGCCGCATTTTGGTTTCAAGCTCTTTATGACCTGCTGTAACTGTCCCCAATTTAGCAGATGGATCGACATTGAACCGGTCATTGCCACGTTACATACAGAAGATGGACTCTTTAGAGCCAGGCGCCTGTCTCCGGAACGCAATTTCCGTATCGATAAAGGCTTCCACGTCCTTTTTCGTGTCACCCTGCCGAACCTCATACTGTAGCAGAATCGATCTGTCAAAATATCGATCCACTCTAACATAATGATGTGACATGAATATGAGATACACGTTGGGATGCATATCTGCAACTTTCCGCATACGGTCGAGAAAATGTGCCCCCTCTGTAATATCGGTAAACTCGTCAAGCGCGTCTACGAGAAACACGAGTCTCGCTGTTGCACCATATCCAAGAATGATGTCGCCCAACACTTGTTGCCAGTCGTCGATCGAAGGGTCCTCTTTCAATCCTTTACTAAACTTAGTGTAGATCGAGCGCGCGGGGTCAGCAACTGAGTAATCTGAGTTCCACGATAGCTTCCTGACAAGTGAGCGGATGACAGTCTCACAGTCGGGTCTCTTGGAACCTAGAGCGGAGCAGAAGTAGGGGATAATTAGGAGCGGCTCATCCGGAGTTTGTACGACTTCAAGTGCTTGTAAAGTCAACAAGATTCGATAACTGCATGATGTCAATTTAGAGAATCTCCAGTATAAGTACGACTCACGCGATTGTTGTTTTTCCCGTGCCGTAAGAACCGTTGATCCAAAGAACACGGGGTAAGGGGACTACCTCTGGCTGTGTTGTCGTATCCTCCCATTGATGGAAGGCCTCGAACCAGGTCCTGTATTCGGCCAAGTCAAGGAAACATTGCGCATAGTTCTTCGATCGTCTTTCAGATGTAATCTTATTCTCAATCTTACTCAATGATTCTTCTGGGTCATCCTTTTGCTTGATCCATTCGAGAATCTTAGCCACTTTGTCCCCCAGAGCGTCCTCTTCTTCGATTGCCTTTCTTCTTCGGGACAAGGTAGCTCGAACTCTCTTGATGTCCTTGACCCTCTCATCCCATATAACGGTGTGGTCTTTGAACGTCGTGGTAGCTGGAATCTCAATCGTAAGTAACAATGGTCATAGCGGTTTTGAAAGTCAGCTGACCTTTCGCTTTGAGTCGTTCAAGCTTAGAGTCGGCTTGGAATTTATACGTAGCATATTGGATATCATGCATGAGGTGTAATGCCATGATGTACACGTTGGGAAGCTCTTTTCCCAGCTCCTTGACTCCTTCTGTGGGCTCTTGTATCGATGTCGTCTCGTAGGAAATCCATTCACTGATAGTATTGGCAGCTTCGAAATAAGCGTCTAGAGCCTTGGTTCGAAATTCCGGATTTGGACCGTTGACAAAAAGCTGCGCTGATTAACTCAGTTCATGCACCTAGACAGAGGAACTTTACCTCAGTGGTACTGAATACGATTGCACAACATATAGGTGCAAGCTTGTTAGGATCGAGAGCTGCTATAGGCATGACAACGCTTTTGACAGAAGCTAAGCTTGGTAACCATCGCTTCATACGATGTACGACTTCTTTTGAGGTGGAATTCTGCTGGATACATTGGGGTAGATCGAGATCAGCGGTGATGAACTTCGAACTCCAATCGCTAGTAGCGAGTGTTTTCAACCTATCGTTCAGGAAATTCCACTCCGCTTCATGCTTTTTCTCAAACTCCAAACGCGCCTCGTCCCACCTTTTCGCTTCTTTGGTCCCGGGCATTCTCAAGAGACTAGTTGCATCGCTTGGTGTTGTTGACGAGGTCTGAGGTACAGAAGACGTGAGCTGCGCATCAGCTTGAGTGAGCTCTACTTCTTCCCGGCTATGGGTGTCCTTAATTTGAGAAACTGCTGTTTGTGATATCGATGTAACTCTAACCGCATCAGCGTGAGTCTCATCGTTGGATGGTGGGTTTTCATGATGAGTAATAGCTTCGTAGTTTTTCGAAGATGTTGATGCACGATCGTCATTGCCACCATGGGAAATAGAATCATTCCTGGTATTGGTAACATGAGAAGCGCTTGCCGGCGCACCAGAGGCTATTGGGAATTGTATTGCAAGGTCCTCCGCAAGTGGTATAGGTGGCCGTCTTGGACTTGTTGTATGGGGTGAACATTCAGATACTGTGGGATGTGACTTTGATTTCCTGCCGGAACCGAAATCCTTCACCCGTCGAACGAATCGTTTGGCAATGCCGGGTTTGGTGGAAGGCTCCATCGTCTTTGGAGTTGTTTGCAAGGTAAAGCAGGGTAGAAGGTTTACCCCTCTTCATCGCCTAGCTGAACCTGTGCAATAGCCAAGACTTCAGCCTTCCCCACCACAAGCCTGCTACGTCATATCTGACTGAGATTATCGAAGCGCCCTTATTCAGTTGACATGGGTCAAGGTATACATCAGTACAGCCTACTGATTCCAAAAGAATTGGATAGAATCCCACATGTAAACCATGGGAGTCGATAGGCCATTCCACTGGGGCCACGCCCAATCTAGATAGCACCTGGGCTTCCAGACAAGCTGTATCTTAGAGTAATCTGTGATCATGATAATCGCATGATACACTGAGAATCTCCGGAAGATTATCTCTAAGTGTAACCCTGAAGACGAAAGCTTTTTGCTAGACTGTAGCCTTAGCCTACCTATAGGCTAGAGATCGCCGAGGGCAGACGCGATTGCGATAGCCTCTTGTGACTGAAACTCGCAGGACGGATGAATCATGATGAGTTTATTAAGTGCAGAATATGTACGAGAACATCAGACATGATCATATGTATGGATCTCCAGAGCTAGCTGTGATGGGACGGGACCCATATATACCCCGGCATGCGCCATCCTTGGTAGTCATGTGCAGAAGCGGGGTACGTAGCTGTTCAAGTCATGTATGTCAAATGGCTCATTCACAAATTCTATGGGTGATTCAACGTGACACATTTACACAGTTCAATTCACTCGACCTTAAGCATCTCTAAGCTTGTCGTTGTTCGAGGTACACACCTACATTTTCTATCATCTTCGGGCGTCGTGAAAGCACCATGGAAGAGACCAATGACAGCAATGACTCTATCACCACAAAAATAGAGGTTGCTACGCATGGTGACGTTATTCTTGTGGTCGGTCCACACAACAAGAAGATTCGAGTCTATTCCTCCGTTCTCAAAAACGCATCGAAGTATTTCAGGGTTATGTTCGGACCACACTTTGCTGAAGGCCAAAATCTGGATAGTGATAACCCTAAGGAAGTTTCCATGACAGAAGATAATGCACACGCCTTAGAGGTTATCTGTAACGTCATCCATCTCCGAAACGATGCAGTGCCACATTCTCTCAGCCCTAAGGAGATCTTCGAAATCGCTACAGCTGCCGATAAATTTGATTGCGTCGTTGCTCTGAGATATGCCAGCGCAATTTGGCTGAATCCGAAAGGTGTTGAGGATATCTTAGAGTTGGGTTATCTCATGGCTGCCGCCTACATTTTGGACGATGCGCAGGCCTTCGGTGATATTACAATCTCGATGATGCTCCATCATCAAGGTTCTTACCTTCCGCTCGCCGATCAAGTTGTCGGTCTGACTGATTGGGTTCCATGGAAGGTTCTTTGTGAGTATCGAGTTTGCCAAAGATTTTATTGACCCCGCTAACGCTATGGTCACAGATCTCTTAGAAGAGCGAAGAAACAGGATGCGCACAGAACTGCAGCACATATTGTTCAATGGATCAACGGATGCCGGAATGGACGAGAGCAGTTCGTGCACTTGCGCATGGGGAGCTGTTCATAGTCTTGCTCACACAGAACTTCTACAACATGAAGATCTTCGGCCGTTGCAGGTACTGGATGTCACAGTATCAAAAATCGTTGAAAAGATGGAGCAGATGCGTGATCCACTCATGCCCAAGCAATGGGAACGCTGTGATTATCGCTGGCATGGAGAACCTCGCTATAGAGCAACGCGCGGTGACAGGCTAAATGGATTTCGTGAGAGAAACCGCCTCTGTCTCGATTGCGTACGAGATGGAACCACGACTACGAACCAGGTTCACAGGACTAAAGGTTGCATCACTAATCAGAGGAAATTCCCATGGGAATCTTGATGGAGAGTAGTGCCAGTGCCTCATTATGTCAGTTTGGAAATATCTAAGCTATGCAGTATGATCCATCCGGCCATGGATTTGCGGCTGATGGCCGGAGTTAGAATCAGAAATTTGACAAGAGCTCCTTGACCACTTCATACGCCTCTTTGACCAGGCCTCTGGTCTCCTCGTCGAGACTAGCCTCATCTGTACTTAAAACTAATAGTCTTTCCTCCCATAGTTGCCACCGTTCCCTGTTCAGTCCGTCTTCTCTCGGCCACAAGTCTGTCGGTTCGTCTAATGCCGCCTCCCACTCTTTCCTAAGCTCTCCATAGTCCGTGTTCCACAGTGCACGCGCCCCATCCCGCACCCAGATTGCTGCCACACGAACGTCCAGCGCCCACAACTGCTCAGCCGACATCCTGTGCTTATCTGGCTGACGGGGTGGGGGCTTCTCGTGCTCGAGTACATCCTTGCAGGTGTAAAATACCCATATAGTCTCATGTGCGGGCTGTTCCTTGCTGCGTTTGAGCAGCCTGGTTGAGAAGTTGACGAAGCGGAGCCATCGCTGACTGCAAGTAATACTCGACCTGAGATTGGGCGTACCGCTTTCAGAGTCTGCATCTTGTATGCTGGTCCAGTCACGCCATTGGTGAAGCGTGGCATACGTGTCGTACCATTCCCAACCAAATCGCGGCAGTTGCGACCAATGTAATTTGCCGTCCGCTTTAGTATGGCTGCGAAGTGCCTCCTTTACGTCCCTTGTTGTTTTGGATAAATTGTTGGGCAGTGTGGGTGGCTGTGCACGGATGGAATCAAGTAGAGCAAAATGGGCTTCGGGTGAAGATGAAGATATGACAGATTCGAAGAAGGCCGTCCATAGTTCCCAGAGTGCCGAGGAGGGGTTAGAAGAGGTAGTGACCGCCTCGACGAGATGTTTGGCTGTTTCCTCAGCTAAAGAAGAGTAGTCGCTTGAGGTGACAATGGCGCTTATCTGCGGTAAGAAGGTATTAGGCGGGTAGGTACCCGGTGTGTTGAAAATGGTGGTCATATTGTTGGAAGGGGAATTGCGACGTGAAGCAATCAAAGCCGATCTGCGATAGAAGGTGCTTTTGAACTTCGATGCTCCTTTATATGGATCGATGTGCACTTCGGCACTGTATTTGGAAGAGGTAGACGTCATGCTCAGATAATCAGGTAGGCGCAGCCAGGCATCCACAACCACGTGATCTGCCATCACATGATCGATTCACATAAGTGGCTACGTTCGGAGACCGAAGCGCAGTCATTTGGTCACAGAACAAGGCTTCCCATAGCATAGGCCACATCACAGCCGCAGCAGCCGGCTAGGCAAGAAGTACCAATTTAGAGTTTGCGGGGCGATGCACGCTGCCTGCGGCCCGCTAGTTTTCCTACCCGGGTAATCCACCCCACAATTTGCTTATAGCAGCTAAGCCGCGGGCCTTAATTGCATCATACATCGTTCCACCTCATGGGCGATGTTTTGTTAACTTTCACAACGCCTGCAGCATCCCCAGCTGCGACCGCAGACCCGTACTGCAATCACTGCCTGTGCGCCGCCCATCAAACATGCACTCTGGCTAGCTGTCTGCTTCCAGAAATTCTACGTGAGTCGGTCCTAGATCATCTTCTCGCGTTGCTCTGCTCCTCAGGCCCTCTAACGGTAAGACCCGAAGCGCTATGATCCTCGGCGTCGTACGGTTAAATAAGGTTACGACAAGCGCAAAGATCTACAGTCAGGCCGACCGCCTACTTCCTGATGCATCCATGAGTGTAGGAATACTTTTGTGTCTTCCTGAGGACGTCTGATTTGTATGGCAAGAGCTATTTGTTTGTGCTCTGGAGAACGATTGGATTGTTGTATGGCTTTTCCTGATGTGTCATCGGGTATAGCTCAAGTTCGTATTTAACATCAAGATGAGATGTTTGACTGTGGGGACGAAGACGATAAGTTCAAGACAGCCTATAGGGGCCAAAACTATGCCAAGCACATATGTGCGTTGCAGCCTATGGCCCACAGACCAAATATGTACCTTGTAACTATAGCAGTGCTGATGGGAACGCCTAAGAGAGCATCGAGATGACTATCATGGTCGTATCGCAGGCTCTCTGGTGATCCTGTCAGTTAAATCAGCCTTGTCGGGACCTTGTCAATGTATCCACCCAACAGCGCTATTGTGTTAGTCAATCCGAGAGCTTCGCCCGATGACGAAGGAAAGCATGATAGTGACGTTAATCTCCATCACTTGGGTGCTCAGCTGATACTGGCGCTAAGTCAGTTCGACTTCGACAACCTCGTCTGAGACCATCGATATGCCTGAGTGGGTTGCCTCTTCACTCTACACACGGCCCGAGAAATGTGGATCAGAAGTGAAGGGAGCGGTATTGTGACTGGTACCACGTTCCTCAAACATACCTCGAGAAGCGCGCGAAGGCATAACGCTGGTCCTTGATGGAAGGCCTAACATGTCTTTGAAAGGCATATAAACTGGCCGCTGCCGGAGGTCTAGCATCTTCATCACTGCACTACACTTTCATTTCAAGCCACTATCACTCACACTATCAGACCGTCTTCAGTCTTCCTTACACCATGCACTTCTCACCATCAACCATCCTCCTGCCACTGGGCCTAGCCCTTGTGCATACATCCTTCGCCAACCCTGCGCCTGCCGGAATGTTGAGCAAACGAACTGTTGACAACCTCCCGCCCAGCGACCAGTTCGTAGCTTGCCCAGGATACAGATACAGTCGTGAGCAGGTCGAAAAGGCTATTCAGCAAGCCATCTACAATACACCTACCACCGCGCCTCAGCCAGGTATGCCTTTAGACTCGCTCTGTGAAGAATGTTCTCCTTGCTAACCTCTTTCTTCTCCATTTCAGGCGGCTACCCTAAAACTTTTGGCAACAACAGGAAGCTGAAGTTCTCCGACAAGTGCAACGGCAAGACGCTGAAAGAATTCCCCCTCTTGCATGGAGATAAAATCTTTGGTGGTGGCGACCAGGGTCCGGATCGGGTTGTTTTCTACATCTACAGAGACAACCCTGATACCGACCCGACGGATGATGGCGCATACTGTGGTGTGATGACGCATGATGGTGCACCTGCGAGGGAGTTCGCCCTCTGCCCAGTAGAGGACTAGCGGAAATGAGTGCAGGAGATAGAGATCTCGATGAAGCAATTGAAAACGCCTCACAACGATCTAGACACATCATAAAACTACCGACTCTCTTGCGTAGCCACATATGTAATGCGTTCAAATGAAAACACCCTTCTTATCACGTTCAGTAGAAAAACTTAATTTGTACGAGATGCAAGTAATCTTGTTACATGTGCCTTACCGACTTCAACGATTATACGTGAAGCATCCTCTGCAGAGCATTGGGATGCGCTCATCATAAATAAAGCGGCGACAGTTGGCTTTCAGGATAACCCAGGCAACTTTCCTCTGGGCAAAAAGGCTTACTTCTGCTCTCACCTTCTGGATGCTTCGTTATACTTCATCGCATCTTGCAGCGCACCCGCCACCTTCCACAGTTGTCTTCCGATGATTCCCTAAGTACTGCAGATCTTGCCAGGATAGAGTAAGGCACCGGGTCGGCACGGTACCATGCGACTGAGACGCTGCAGGGAAACACTAGACAGGTGGAAGCGTTGATTGCAAAGAACTCTAGAAAGGCTGATGAGCCCTCGAAATATCGATGCCTCAATATCTTTTCAGTCTATATCATATCTCATGACGGCTTATCTACGATTGAGTCGTTTTCCACTCCCTCTATTTCATGATACGATCAAGCAATGAAAGCGAGAAGATATGCTGGTAAACATAATGTCCGAAGGATCAATATTGATGCCCGTTGATTGGCGTTATCATGCGTTGTTGCACTCTGCCCTTTCACTAATGGTCGTAGTAAGAATTGGAATTGAGGACAATCGAAGGACAGTGTCTTATCATTGGAACTCGAAACACATATTCTCTTGAGTGGAAGGTACGATTTCGCTCACGCGATAGCTCAGGTTGATGGCGGAAGTTGTACCGGACTTGAATTGACAATTGTATCCTGGGTACAATACATCGTAAGGGAGATACTCTCGTCTTTGGACATGGCAAAGGAGGAGTCAAGGATAAGACATCTTGATGTCTGCACTTTAGACGGTTCAGCATCAAAACCAAAGCTTGCGTATAGTGTCACGGCTGTATGGACTAGCGTCGTTGCGAGATGCAACAGTCCTTGGTCTATCTCCTGGTTCAGCGGCAGCTCTGCTACAGCGCTGTAAAAGTAAAGCTGGGCTATAAAGGCGCGTGTTCTTTGTCATATATTGTGATGCTACCAGCCGTCTTGAAGGGCTTTTGCGACTCTTAGTGTTGTACACGGGATCTGTTGAGCTGATGACTGTCGTTTCTGCTATTACGTACCGGAGATGGCAAACAAATGTGCGACATGCACAATGAAGCGCGCGAGTTCATGACTCCGCCATGTAGAATGATGAAAGCAATACGCCAAATTCACATGACCCAACAAACACCACCCATTTGATTAATGCCGCCTGACCGATTCCACTAAACTGATGCATTCGATGTGCCATGACTGACTATCTCTGCGATTCGATGTTAGAACGTGCTCACGCTCTTGTACGCCCGGGTGGGGAAATTCGCGACAAGTAGCCAGTTTTGTATCGTCAACATGGCAAATCTGATCCTTCCGGAATCCTTCACGGTTATCAACAACAACCATCAACCATCTCACGTAAGACTCCACAACACGATTCGCCGGAGATGGCCGAACCAAATGGTGTATAAAGAGCATCGCAAAGCCAGCTCATATAACACACAACCATCAATCACAGCTTCAAGAATTCGAGCAGACCTTGCCATCAATTACCATGCAGCTTACGCCCATCTTTGTCTCTTTGTTCGTCGCCATGGCATTTGCCTCCCCAGTCCCAGATCCTCAGCTCACTCGCCCCAATTGTCGGCTTGCTCGTGACGCCGATGCCGACCCCCAGATTCATCGCCCGAACTGCCCTCTCGCTCGTGATGCCGGACCCGATCCAATTGTCAGAGGCAAAGACCCAGGTGGCCGCGGAGGTTCCGCTTTCTAGAAGACAATAGCCGGTATCGGTAAGAAATCGCACTAGTTTCAGTTGAGAGATCAACGCTGACCATTCGATAAAGGACACGTGCTCGTACTGGGAATCTGGACGGAGGTAGGGCCAGAGGGAGAGTGCTCGGGACGATGGAAGTACGCATGGGATCATTGTCGCGAGACTGCTTCGCGAGGACGAGTGTGTTTGGTAAACTTACTGTCGCTACATGGAACAGTCACAATACGAATTTGGATTAGTTTGAAGGAAGAAATGATACTGTGTTCGTGTCACGACATTCTCTGTGATTGATAGAGGCTCTGGTTGATGTGAATTTTCTTGCCTTATTGGAGTTAAGAACAATAAAGCCTTAGGTGTCGTGTCATATGTGCTGCTTGTGATTGACGTGACCATCGCCCTTTTTACATCTGTGAGTTATCATCTCAATCTTGGATCATCTCTTGCGTGTTCACACCGAGATGTCGGGCGCTGGAGTACAAGCAGTACTATCAGTATTCATAGGACGGCTGTGACTTACCGATCGTATCGAAACATCCGCATATGCATGGCGTTATGGCTGGCGAATAGGTCCTTGGCGGTTGTAGGAATTCGCCCCTCACAAGACTTGTAGAGCGACTGCAAGACAACACGAGAGCATTAGGCTCAATATCTAGCCTTTGATACGTTGTTCAGATAGATATAACCTCATTGATAAATTAGGATACAGTTATGGTACATCGTAAATCTAAAAAACTTTCAAAATTCAAATCGCTAGAAACAACATCTACGACGCAGTGCCGTTTATCGCCGCGGTACCATTCGTCGCCGCGGTACCGTTCGTTCCACCATTATCAAAATACGCACAATGAATGAGATACTGCGATGTCTCAGCGCTGAAGCCCTCCAGCGCAACCGCATCAATCTTCGACAAAGTGAACTGACTATT